AACGAAGGTTCATTCACGGACGTGGGATTCGCGCGTGCGAGTGGATCTCATTAATTCCTGGCCGTGAAACGCGTCGGAAAAGCGGACGGAAACGATTTCTCCGCCGCGTGTTTCTCTCACGATCGTCGATCATGCGAGCGTCCTTGGTTCGAGAGCACGGCTTGCGAAATGCTCGTTTCTATTGAACTGCATCTCGATGAGACGGTTCACAGGGTCGTTCTCGCAGACACTCAATCTAATTTCCCGTGCATGCACTCAATCGAGCAGCGTCACGATGCAAGACCGTGCTCCTTTCGATGATCACGCGTGCTTCCGTACCTCAGATTCATGACGATCAATTAAGAATGGACGAGCGAATGTCAACAAAGACAGTGAGACCTTGCGAAAATTCACGATTCTTCTCCAGTAGTAATTGGAGCAGAAGAGACCCAATGAAGTTGAACATCACAAATTTAAAAGGGATTTAGCAAAGTGATAAATGAAATGTTATCTTTCATTTTTTTCTCAGAAGACTTACTAAGAAATGGAGAACTATGGCGCAAGGTTGTTACGTTATACACACGTTATACATACGATTTGTTGCAGTCTCGTTATGTGATGACGGGAAACAGGTTATTTATATCCGATCCAAGTGTCCTCTTATTAAGAATAATTGAATCCAGAAGTTAAACTTCTTGCGACTCGTTGAATCACAATTCACGGCTCAATACATATTGTTTGCTAATGTATTAGATAAGTGAATTCATCTGCATCTGTGTTTCTTGCAATGTCCATTTTCATTTCATAGAATTCATACGTCTTTCGTCCGAGCTGAGGGATTAAAAATAAAAGAATTTCAATCACCTGTTTCGTTCCTAGAAAATGCACATTCTTCCAAGGTTCTTCAGTTCGTAGAATTAGAACATGAAAAAAGAAGGAGAATAATTAAGAGGGTAGGGATCGCAGTTTCAATGTGTTGATGCTATTCATCGCCATTGCACAGATCGCAGGCCAAGTGTGTATCAAGTGTTAGTCGTACATATTTTACAGAATGAGAAAGGGCTGGCTGGATAATAAAAAGAAAACTCGTCTGGTAATTGGATAAAGGAAGCCCCGCTGCTTTGTGCCGATCTGTGTCAGCAAGCAGCAACTACACTGGTGAGATTCTCCTATCACAGGCCGAGAATACCTCTCACGGTCGTCCGAATAAACCACGACCATAAATACCACCACTCTCTCGTCGAAGATAATCTTTTCTTCATTGATACAAATTGTTTCCTGATCGGCAGAGTCTTCGGTTCGGTTAATCGAAAAATCCAGCTTCGCTGGTTTGCATAATAAATTGCACTTGCCATCGAAGACCGATCGCCTGCTTATTTTTTTCCTTCGATTCTCCTCCTCTCTCTCTTCGTGGACGATCTCTCAGATGGACACGCGCGTGTGTCATTGCACATTGTTCGTTGTAGCTCGCGTGTCTCACGCGAGATTGCTCATGAAAATTGGTGTAACCTAAGGCTTGGCCAGTCACCCTGGTGAACGGTTGGATGAGCCTGACGCACGAGGAATTTGCAATGAACAAACTGTTCGTTACCTCGGTTCGAAACTCGATCTTGCACGTGTGGCACCTGCAGCATAGAAGAAATTCCTGAAACGAGCAACTTTCGTGCAAGAAAGTTGTTTTACTTAGTCGGATATGACTATAGGTATTGTACTAGTTTCAGTGGTCTAGTTGTACCGGTCATACATTAGTTCGATTGATCTCTCTGGATCTTCGAATGATAAAAGAAATTATCTACTACTATCTAATTGCTGAATTGCGAATGTTTATGAATTTCATCGGGATATTTTGTGAAAACTTTCGTGTTCTTAAATTAAGATACGTTTTATCGTTAAATGCTCGACATCGTAATCGTCGCGTGGCAGTTAATAAATAGTACAAGAGCTAAGAGAACGTGGCGAAGGCTAAATAATGAAGCTAGCGAATGATGAATCTGAAATTGTTTGAGAGGTAAATGCGAAGGAGGGGCCAACCAACCATGCGGTCGGCGAGTGCTCTCGAAATAAATTTATTTTGGTCCACGGCCATCGGCCACGTTTGGGCCACGTTTTCTTGCGAAATCGGTTTTGTATATTAATGATGCAGCTGAGCTGCTACATCCTGGATTATTTCTGGGATGAATTTTTTCCTCGGAAACGTGTCGTCGATGTACAACGTATGGAGGCTGATGCACGTGCAACACACTGTCGTTAGAAAACAGCGTGAATTATGTACGTAAAATCGGCGAGCCTTTGAGGCGCTCAAAATTGAGCCTTCATTCTGTAGTTGTTCATGTCTTGAAACTTAAAGTCAAAGTAGAACGAGATAAGCTTAAATAATTTGTATTTGTTCGCAAGAATCACGAACTCTTGAGTATTAAGGACACGATTGTCCTCGGTGTCGCGTGACAGGAATTAATTTGCAACTTCAATACCGTAATGACATGTCGCGAGGGAGATTACCAACTCAATGCTTCTCTTTGTTTCTAGGTTCAACAATTCCTCAGAAATATGAAGGAAAACAGGGATGTTCCTCAAAGATCGCAGAGCAGCGCGGCGAGCCTCATGTCTCTAGGTGCTGACATATCTCCAAGCTCTTCCCATTTCTTCGAGGTGACATTTCTTTTCCCTTTTAAACGTCCTTTTAATATCCATCTACGACGTAGAGCGCAACGTCAGATTGTTCGGAAGTAAAATTCACTCGCAGATATACAGTCATGCTAATAACAGCTTCTAAATATATACTTTAAAAGAGTAGCGAATAGGGGAGTGATGTTCAAAAGTTTGAAATACTTGACTCATGGTGTCCGAGTGTCCAATGAAGTTTCCTTCGTGAACAATTCGTGAATATTAATTAATTTTTAGCTAAGTTAAGGTTAACAATCAACTGTTTCTTTCCAGGTGCTCTATGTAGGGAAAATGAGAGTACCGCATCCAAAGGTGTCGGAGATCTTTATAGACGACGCGCTAGTAAGATTTCGCGTCCACGGTCTCGAGAAATCGAGACCATCGGCGACTAACTTTCTTTCCGAGTATCAACGTCAATCACTTTTAACGTCTTCCAATAACAGGAGAAACAGCACGGTAAATTATCCCAACCTCATCTACCTTGGAAATAAATTACACACTTTGTAAATAATTGTATAATAAAATAATAATCAATATTAAAAAAAAAAAAAAAA